CTGTGCCTGAAAACACACTGAACCGGCATATGATCACGCTTGCCAGCTGCTGGAATGAGCTGCAACCGTTTGCCCTGCGCATATAAGACGTTGCACCTTTGCACTGCTTGTAACATGGATTGCGGAATGCATACATAATCAATCCGACTGTTACGACCGAAGTTGCCAAAATATGTGTCACCAGCGGGAAAGAAAGTGTTTGTTGCGACCATGTGATGTTCAGTAAGCAATTCTCGCAGCTGCTCGCCATTGAAATTCTCAGCAACCGCATCAAAAGTGCCAACACTGGGAACCCTCGGACCACGGCCAAAACGAGCGTTCGCATCTGTGCATAATACGGGCACACACCGAGCCGGAGCAAGAGATAAGATATGCCCGACCCATGTCCACAGCCTGATGATGTACTGCTTGTCCTTCTGAAGATGCGGATTAACAGGAGCATACACGTTGACAACAAGAAAATCCGCATCACCACGCTTAAGTCGTATGGCCCCCGCACGGCCAATGAATTCTTCGGGTGGTGTAAAAACTCGCACCATGTGTTTGAACGAGAAAAGTTTGTTGCGCACTGCAACAACCAATCCCGCTGATTTGCCACTGTGTGTGGAACAGCCCCACTCAATGATGTTGAAGCCCGGGATCGTGTACTGAACGACTTGCTCGTTTGTGCGCCTTTGGGTTCCCTGAATGCACACAACAGAGTTCCAACGTAGTTCAGACAATATGTGCCGTAGTCTTCGTGTCTGCACGAGCGATAATGCATTGTATGAAACAGCACGCCACTGTGGTAGGCAATCCATACGAGTCCTGATCGATGGAAATCATATGTGGACCCTAACTACGCACTCTTGGAACATTGCTACCACGCCGCATCGGCTAGTGCTCGAGAAAAGCGGCAACAAGGTTAATACAATCACATACATCAGCTAGACTGGCCCCCTGGCCCCTGACAGTAAGGATATTGCCGTCCCCCCCAAGATGGACCTCACTCGCAAGCTTAATATTGCCCATAAGCTGTTCCTTGTGCCGGATACTTCCTTCAACTGCAACCCACATGATGGCCATTGGCCTCATCAACAAGTTAGTGCATCCAGATGTAGCTGTGGGTTCCCATTCAAGTCTCCGAAGTTAAAAGCCACGGCATCCCCATTTCTAGCAACAGTTAATATTAGTACATGTATATAAGCTAAACACTGCACAATCATTTGCACCAACAGTTGCCGTCATATTCATGCGAATATTAAACTACACGAAACGGATTCCATTAAGAACCGCGATCCTTGCTGTCTTCGCTCTGGTGTTCCCCAAAGGGCGGCCCTTCGATTTTTAGGGGTAATACCAGCATTTGTTTGTTTAGGTCAACATATAGTACATGGCGCCCCCTTTCTCATTGTGAGACTTGCTGTCGGACTTGCCCGTATGCGGTATGTACATTTACGTGTCTATATATTCACATAAATGTAAAGAATCAGGTTAAATCTGTACTAGGTACCAACGTAGTGACGAAGATCATTAGCTGACTCCTGCTTCCAAACAGCATCAACCCTGACCATATCCGTGTCATTCGCTGTTATGTCAATGCTGACCGTAATATTCGCCTTGACAGCAGCCCTAAGGCCATCCACAGTAGGCTTAGTACCACCCAGAATCTGACCCCGATATTTAACATTTAATTTACAACTTCAGTCAGCTAGAAGACATCAAGCGGTAGCTGTGATAACCAGCTCCCTATCGACCCCAAATTGACCCGAATATTGTACTGTGTTTTATCGCTCTTTGTACGTATGACTACGGACATTTCGTTGCATTGGCTCAAGACAAAAAGTGTGTACGATTTGGTGCTTTCGTGCACTAACTATAGGTTATCAGCCGTAGCCAAGCCGAGCCATAGCTTCCAGGGTGCTCCTGAAATCCTGCAGGTTACACCGAAATGGGGGACACCACTGAACCCGTGCCAACAGGTATCTCAGATATTACTTTGGCAACGGAAGGTGCAGGTGAACAAGAGTTTCCTCCATTAATGCCAACAGGTGGAAGTCATTTGCCGAGTGATGGACTGGCAATTGTTCAACATGATGCAGCGTACTCACCGATTGATTCGTTGCTTAGAGAACGTGTTCCTGCCACGCCAGGTTCTATTACACCTGTTACTCCGGTAGGAATACCTGGACCATTGGCTCATGCTACGGGCTTGCCCAGCCCTATTACACTGATTTATTCGCCTCAACTTCATCAAGCAAGCCTTACCCAGAACCTACAGGTTGTCGATGCCAGGCAAGTGGTGGTTAATCTCCGATGGTCGCCTTTGCCTCCGAGGCACGACACAATCAGATTATCGGCGAATTGGGAGCAGAACATCAGGAGCAGCTCCGTGCAATGTGCAACAGTGGGCTTGCAGAAGTAACCAAGTTGAGGAATGAATTGGGCAATGCTAACATTGCGTTGTCGATTCAGAGATCTGAAATGGGTCAAGGTGAAGCTCGTTTCCAGCAAACCGAAAGCGCGAGGGAACTCGCTGTCCTTGAAGCCAACAGGCAAGCTGAAGCTGCCCGTAGAGCTGTAGAGGAAGCTAACAACAACGCCAGGCGCCTTCGCGAAGTGGAAACTTCTGCCCGTCAGAATGATGCAATGCGATCACATGAGGTCGCTGACATGTCAGCTCGAATGGATGAACTGATGAGGCAGCTTCAGGCCCAGCGTCAGCAGACCGAGGTACTGATTCAGCAAAATAGTGCTCTGAGCTCCAGGGTTCGTGATTTCGAGGCTAGAGATGATTCAAGAGGGAATTCCTCAAGGGCCTCCACCCGGTATTCCTGTACACCACATGTCCACTCCGAAGCACGGAGGTGACACTCCGACAGAACAGGCTACGGACGCCGGAAGGCGAACCCCTCCGGAAGGTTCTAGCCCTGGTGGCAGTGGTGGCGGACCCGATGGTAAACGGCCCCAGTGGCGGTGATGATGACCATGATCGTCACGATCGGAAGTCCAAGAAGGATAAGAAGCATAAGAAGAAGAAGAAGAAGAAGAAGAAGTCGCGCAGGCGACGTAGGCGTGATCCTTCGTCTTCCCCATCTAGTTCTAGCAGTAGCTCTGGTGATTCGAGCTCTTCCTCATCCCGCATTGATAAGAAATCGTGGTGAAAAGCCTGATAAAGAGGACAAGCCCAAGGTGAAAGAGGCTGAGAAGATTACCTTCCCGCAGCCAGAGAGCTATAGGAATTGGAGGCTAAGGGTCCGTGAAGCGGTCGTTGCCGCATCCGATCGCCCTGATGACGCCTTTTCGTGGCTCTCCAAGGTTTGGGAGAAAGACGTTAAGGAGGATGATCTTCGCGACCCGGAAGGGTTCGTCACCTTGGATGCTAAGGTTCTATCGGCGGTCACTAACATCCTGGAAGGAGCCTTTGCCAGACAGGTCGATACCTTCAAGGAGCGAGAGGCAAATGCCGGGAGGCTTGTTCGGGGTCGACAAGTGCTTTTCAAGTTGGACAACTTCTTTTCTACCAACGCACAGGATGGTTCAGTCTACGAGTTCGAAGATCTCTTGTCAGTTAAGATGGTCAATGAGAAGCTTGAGACGTTCATGCATAACTGGGAAACTGTATTGTCAGGGATCCAGACTACCCCCGATGAGAACTTCCTTGAGCCCTTGTTCCATAGGCAGATCAAGCGCTTTAAAGATCTCGCACATGACATCAACATCTACGAAAGGGCTACACCAGGGCAGCCAGAGAAGACCTACATGTTTTTGTATGATGCGGCTGCGAACTACTTGAGTCGCAAGCGTCTTGAACGCAACCGGGAACGGATTGCCAAGCAATATGGTGCCGATGGGAAACCATCTGCCCCCGCTCCCAAGAAGAAGTTTGTCCCTAAGGGATTTTGTTTTGACTTCGTCCAGAACGGTAAGTGCAGCAAAGGAGATAAGTGCAAGTATAAGCGTGACATCCCTGAGAAGAGAGGCCGGTCGCATTCAAGAGGTGGAGGCCGCACTCGCTCGCCATCCGGCAACAACAATGACGGAAAGCCCAGAGAATGCAAGTTCTGGAAGAGCGGGCGGTGCAAGAAAGGAAGTGCATGCACATTCCTCCATACAGGCAAGCCAAGCGCTGCTGCGACGTCACAAGGCGGCTCTCAGGGGGGAAGACCAGGAAGCGCAGGCAGCAAAGGGAAAGGCAATAAAGGCCATCGTAAGTCGCGGTCCAACTCGAAGGGTTCTCAAGGGTCGAAGAACTCTAAGGGCAGCAAGGGTTCGGACAAGCGAAAGGGTTCTAAGCCACCGAAAGTTCCTCCGATAGTCGTGGTGACATGTCATCTACCTTTTCGTGTGCCTTGCCAGCTATTCGTTTCGACGACAATCCGATGCTCATCAACATCCCACCTGACGGAAAGATGTTGCCTACAGAACCCGAGCCACGGAGGTACTTGAAGTCCTTCGGTGGGGAACCTCCTAGACCTAGTCATCAGGACATTAAAGATGCACTGACGACCGCCAAGATGCTTAAGGCAACTCTGGATGCATACGGTTCCGGTACAAGGGCTGAATGCGGTTATGAATGTGACACAGAGTTTGGTTGCGACAAGTGCATTCCAAAACACCTTGAAGCTACCTGTGTTGCAGCTACCAAAGCGGAAGCCCAGCAGCTCGACATCGAGTGGATTGCAGATACCGGCAGCGCCCAGGACTTGGTGTCTCAGGGGGATCTCGGATCATTGAGAAGCCATCGTTCCCAAAACCCAATCGGCATTGTGACGGCTAATGGGCCCAGCACTGCTGAGATCCAGTCTAACATCGCAGTTCCTTCATTAGGCATTGACAGCCATCCATATGTGTTGCCTAGCACACCTTCTGTTCTGTCCGTGGGTTACAGATGCATGGAGGAAGGGTTCGATTTCGTTTGGAGATCGGGTACAAGACCCCACTTTCAATCGTCTAGCGGTGAGCGGATATACATGGATGTGAAGGATTAGATCCCCCTACCTCAAATCGTGGAAGGAAGGTGTGGCAGTACCTGCGAGGCGGAAGCCCCTGCCTAAGGATGATCACAAGACTGATCTGGTTCTTTCGCTTGAAGAGGCTGAGGGGTATGCAAGGGAACTTCGGATCAACGGCGACTTTCGTCTGGGATCATGTTACAAACTTTTGAAATTGACTCCGTTCAAGCCAACAGGGAATTCGAGGAGAATGAAAGCTACTGAGAATGACGACTCTGTTGAAGATGAAGTTGGCAGGGACTACATAATCATTGGTGTTTGGATTTTCAGCGGGATGACTGGGGTCACAAAGTCTGTTGATCGTCATGCTCAGCTGATCAAGTACCTGATTGCCTTCATGAAGTCAAGAGGGTTGAAAGACACCTTCACGTCTATCTGCATCAATCACGGTGGCAATCGCCGAGTGCACCGAGATTTGTTGAATCATGACAACTCACTTAACCACACTTTACGTGTTGGGAGCTATCAAGGTGGTTCCGTATGGGTTGAGCAGAAGGACGATTTTCCCGTGTTTCGCAGTGGGAAGTCAAAGTGCGTCAAGGTTACGGGGGGACTTGAAGTCAATGGGAGAGTCTATGACACTCATGATCGAATGTTATCCTTCCACCCCAAGCTTTGGCATCAGGCACAGTCTTGGACAGGTGATCGATGGACCATCACTGCATATACGAATATACGATTCGGGATACAGATGGTTTGAGCTGGGAACATTCAAAGTCGCTGATGTCGCTCGGGTTTCAGTTGAATTCGTCAAGACGGTTACCATTTGTTCCATCATTGATTACCGGCGACAGCGATGAAGAGCTCACCTTGTATGACTTCGCAAAGAAGAAGAAGGCCGAAGCTGAGAAAGCTAAGGTTCCTGAACCAGCTCCTCCGTTGATGAAGAGTAAGGCTAAGTCTAAACCCATTAAGCCTGATGCCGGGCGGAAGCCTGAGCCCGTGCCTGATAAGGGTGCTGACATGTCTGATCTTTTTGATATGGAGGACCATTTTGATGAAGCCGGGGAGTTGAAAATTGCGGAGGATCAGCCACCTCCTCCTCCTGTTCCCGCTGAGGCAAGCAAGCTTTCGAAAGGAGAGAAGGTTCTACGCGAAGAAGCTAAGAGTAAACATCATCTGATGACTCACGTCCCAAAGAACCCCTTTTGCCCTACGTGCCAGAGAGCAAAGATGTTCAAGCCGCCTTCGTACCAAACGAATGGTTCCAGATTCATTGAGGCTGAGAATTTCGGCGACCATCTTACTGGGGATCATCTCATTGTCTATCGGGACAACGAGGAAGAGATTGGGGATTCGCGATTAGCTTTGGTCATGAAGGATGTGGCAACAGGTTTCCTCGCAGCATACCCCTCCGGACGGAAGTCCCAGGACGAGTGCTACAAGGCGCTCAACCATTTTGTTGCTAACAATGAAGACGTTGGCATCTTCTACAGTGACAATGCTCCTGAGATTAACGGGGCAGTAGCAGAAATGGGTTGGAAGCATGAGCATTCTAAGGCCCTACGTCCATCAGTCTGATGCCATGGCTGAGCGTGCAATCAGGACTGTGACGGAAGGCACCAGAGCAAATCTGGAGCAAGCTGGCCTGGCTCATGTCTACTGGCCTCATGCTTTACAACATGCTTGTGTTGCTCATAACGTAAGTCATCCCAACGGTACGAAGTACTCTTCATGGACTTTGCGGTTCGGCAAGGACTTCCATGGGCCATTGATTCCGTTTGGATGCCGAGTAGACTACTGGACTTCTACGAATACCACAAGCCCATTAAGGTACACCAGTTGAAAGTGCCCGATGGTGAGTTCACTTTCCCCATGATCGACCGTTATAACCGTGTCCGAGATGGGCTATAGCGCACGATGCAGTTGAGAAGCCTGTCGTTGAATCTCTGAGAAATCAGGATGCGGAAGCAGTCGTAGAGCCTCCTGGGGACGGTGAGGCTAAAGTAGAAGTACCTAAAGTCATTGATCCCAAATCAGGTGACCTCGTTGAATTGCCCGAAGGCGACCGCTACTATGACTCCGGTGGAACTCTTGGTAGAAGATACGGAGGGTCTAGGGGTTCAAAGAAGCCGGACAGCATTCCTTCTCACATATGAGTCAACTTGTCCGAAAGGCAGAAAGATAAGGCGATAGCGGAGGAAGCAGCGAAGATCGCTAGGGAACATCATGAAGGCGCCGATCGAGCAGGTGGTGGATCATCGAGTTCAAGGGCCTGCTGCAACGCTTGGAGCCTCCCGATCGGTGGGAAGTCAAAGGTAACAAGTTAATACGGTACCATTGTGTCCCTAGACGAGAACTGTTTTCTCCTGACATCACCGATTGTCCCGTTCCTACATCCAGGGTTAAGCCTACCAGGATCTTGCTTGCAGATCATCCCTGTGGGAACAGAGGACACTGTCGCAGATGAAGATGATTGGACAAACCCGCGTAGAAGGAATAAGAAATTGCCTTTTAGATGGACCGGCAAAACCATCTTTGAGATCCTACCATTGGGTGCTAGCAGTGCTCATATCGTGGGGGAACCCTTCCCGACTATGCCAACTATCCCATGTAGTGGCGAGCATCGTGAAAAGATTGGTCAAGATCGTCAGTTTACACAATCTGAGCTGGAAGTCATCATGGCACTAGTAGCTCGTCCAGTTGGCAAGAAGGAGCTCGCGGAGAACAGTGATGCCCAGAAATCACTTGATGTGGAATGGGCTAAGCTTATGCAAAAGCGAGCCTGGGACATGGATAACCCACGGGAGTGGTCAGAGATCTCGGCGGAAGCCGTCAGACGGGGTCGCAAGGCTCATGTTGGACGTGTTTTCGAAATCTGTGTAGAAAAGGGAAGCGAACTCCCTAAAGGAAATCCCCTGAGGAAATTCAAAGGCCGGACGGTCTTTCAGGGTAACAATGTCCAGGACGAAAGCAGCAATGCCGCCTTGTTCTCAGAGCTAGGATCAAGTCCTGCTTCGATGGAGGCTGGCAAGGTGCTGGATGCGTATGGATCTCAGCCGGGTTTCGCCTGTGAACAGGCCGACGGTAAGCAAGCTTACACTCAGACGACATTAAAAGGTGCCGAAACTTGGGTTCGATTGCCAAGGGAGCGGTGGCCTAAGTCCTGGGTTGGTAAGTTCAAAGATCCAGTTGTTCGGCTTTACCTCGCGCTGTATGGACATCCTGATTCGGGGGGCTTCTGGGAGAAGCATTGCGAGCAGAGACTCAAACAAGTGGGTTTTGATCTTCTGTTTCCTTCTTCATGGCCTTCGGTTTCTTTCATCCTAAGCTTCGCCTGCTATTAGCTGTCTACGTTGATGATTTCAAGATGGCTGGACCTGCTGAGAACATGCAGGAAGGGTGGAAGCTGATCGGGTCCAAGATTGACATGGACAGCCCGACTCCACTTGGAAGATACCTTGGGTGTGAACATGTTGAGAAGAAGAAAGTTCAACTGGGAACAGCTGACCATCCCTTTGCCCACATCTTTGACAAAAGCATTCCTGACCCTGCAGCAAACCTTCGGTTCCGGCTACATCCCAGGATTACACAGAGTACTATCCCGATGAAGGTGTAATTGTTCGCCATCATATGCAGCCTCGTAAAGCTAAGTATGCTGTTAGCGCTGCGGAAGCAGACGTCTTGAACATCGGCGATCTACGATTGACCGAACGTCAGCTTCTTGGAAGGACTTCTCCAGAAGAACAATGGGATGATGGTTTCCGGGGGGGCAAGGCTTCAGGACTTTGGACGGGAACCACTTATCTGTTTGATCGTGGTCTTGACAAGCACCATGCCGTGGCCGCTGTTAAACGCATCCGTGACAAGAAGCTTGCGAAGAAGGAATCTAGAAAACAGGCCTTCTATGACATCAGCCAATTATCTGACGGCAAAGGATGCATGAATAAACCCGTCAACATCATCGAATCTGACATGAAATCATTTCTTGAACAAGCTGTACAAAAGTACAAGGATCTTGCTGGCCCCAAGTACCACACCCTTAAGTCAGCCTCCACACCGTTCGCCGACGAGAAGATCGCGAGGCCCATCGACGATGAGGCCGAGGCAAAGGGTGAATTGGCTCCCGTCGCTAGCCGAGTTTTGATGAAGCTTTTGTTTGCGGCCAGGATGGCTCGTTATGATTTACTTCGGGCTGTTCAGGGATTGGCTAGCAGAGTAACCAAGTGGTCTGCTGAATGCGATCGGGCTCTCCACCGATTGATGTGTTACATCAATGCCACTCTTGACTTGAAGTTGAGGGGATTCATCGGTGACCCGATTGACCAGTGCAAAATAGGGCTGTTCGCAGACGCTGATCATGCTGGTGAACATGATAACAAGAGCACATCAGGATGTTTTGAGTTTTGAGGCTTTGGTAGGACCCAATACCTATTTTCCTTTGGCGGCTTACAGCAAGAAGCAAACCTCAATTTCGATCAGTTCTACCGAGTCCGAGGTCGTTTGCGCGAACATAGCTTTGAGAACTGTTGGTTTGCCATCCTCCGCTTTGTGGAGTGTGCTCCTGAAGGCAGGGGGGGGGTTCAGACGCATCAAAGCCGTGCGCACCCCGGAAGGGAGATGCCTGTTTGGCCAAATTCCCAGATAAGGATGTAGCTTCTCAGGTGCCAAAGACCGGTAGACATGAACTTATTGATTGTCGAGTAGCTGTTCTTTCAGGAGGTGATAGTATACCTGAACCCGTTGAGCTTTCATCCCATCCTCTTCGAGATGTGTGGTTGCTCCGGGGGGACAAATGGTCCAGAACAGAAGAAGCTGTTGCTTGGGAAGAGCTCGAGAATGCCTCCTACATGGTTCCGAAGGATGCTAAAGCCATCTTGTGCCTGTCCCGGAAGTCATCATTGGAGTATCGTCGCTCTGCGGAAGCAGAAGCCGAGTTGAACTACGAGGCTTACAAGCTCCGTCACGGACTTGGCGACTTCGAGTACACCGATGATGCGAAGATCAGATCCGAACATTCATTGATCATGGCCGCACCACATTGCATGCAACCTGTGATGTTGGAAGATAACCAGGCCACCATTAGGATTATGGAGTCCGGGAGGTCACCAGCATTTAGGCACACAGATAAAACCCAGAGAATCAATCTCGGATGGGTATCGGAACAGTTCAGGAGGAAACACTATGATCTCGCGTATATTAGTACCTTGCTGCAGTCTGCCGACATTTTGACTAAGCCATTTACCAACATTGACAAATGGAAGAGAGCGATTTTCCTCATTGGCCATGTCTATGTCAAACCATCGAGGCCTGCTTCGCCGATCGTCGTGCCAGACGACCTCGAGAAGAGGATCGAGCCCGAGAACGACGGGGTTCTCATTGAATGGGGACATGAATCCGTCGTTGTCTCTGCTCGGAAGGGCAGACGATAATGGTAGCGGTAGCCCATCTGTTGTTCGAGTAACTCACAACATGGACCTTAACAACACTCAGACGAGTAGGGACTTGCTCAAGGTCGTGAAAGGCTATGCCAAGGCAAATGTTCCAATCATCGTTTGGGTTGACCTGCGCTTTGCGGGGGGTCCTGATGACCGCAAACACTTCGGCAAGCTATGGTCTTCTTTCGTCATCTTAAGCACTGGATTGGACATGAATAAATGTCGTTATGTATCGATTGCTCCGTGGGATCACTTCTCATGGAAGATGGATCGAGTTATTAAATAGTGTTCCAGTCATGAGTGTACGAGTTTCGAGATCCTT